CTGCGGAAACAGCTGCCTCTTCCACACTAATTTATCTGTAGGTTTAAAACTTTCAATAATAATTTTAAAAATATTGTAGTTGAAAACATGTGCTGTGTAATGGAAATGCAGTACAGTATGCACTCTCTGTTTCTAATCTGGTCTGTCACTGGAGTGAAGCATGAAAGCAAATTTGGAAACCAGGTTATTGCATCCTAAACTCCTTGTGTTTACATGTTATCACTTAATTTTACATACAGTGTATTTTCAAGAAATAATGCTACTCTTAAATTATGTATTGAGTTCTATAATGTTTTTACTGTTGCAGATCTGGACAACTAGAATACCTACAATTATGTGGTTTAAGGGAATTATGGTGACCTCTCAGGGTTTTCTCAGCATAAAATACTCAAAAGTAATTTACCAATCCCTCCTTCTGTTGGCACTCTGCGAGTTGCTCAAGGCTGCACAGGTAGCAGGGCTTTTAATCACATCAGCCACATGTACTTTGCTGATCTTCTTTGGAGCGTCTCTTGAGAAGCCCAGTGGGGATTCAAATTCCTGGCCTCTGGGCTCTGCAGCTGGGTGTTCCAAATACACTGAACCATACCAGCTCCGGAGAGCTGTACCCTAAAAGAAAAGGGCCTCTTCCTGCCTATTATAAATAGTATTACCAAACAGTATTTTTGAAACTTTTTCTTTAAACATGGCTGGGTAGCTCAGTGAGTAAGGCATCTGGCTGTGGAGCTAGAGGTCAGGAGTTAGATTCCTTAGCTGCGCCTCTCATGAGAAAAGCACGTCCGTACAACCTTAGGAGAACTGCACAGTCCCCAAGTACACCCAAAAGAAGGGAATGGTAAACCATTTACTGTATACCTAGGAACCCCTGGAAAGTGTTAGTGTAAGTCAGAATTGATTTGTTGGCATGAGTGTTAAAACTTTTCTGTAGATTTTATGAAATTAGCTTGTATTAATACATTGAATGTCAGTTCTGTGTGCAAGAGTAGGCCATTAATATCATTAGCTCTGTTATGGATTTCCCTCTAAGATTCATTTCATGAAGTGATTAGACTTACAGAGAAAATTCACTTTCCCCCATTTTCATTAATATGAGGTGTTTGTAGGGACAGTGTGGTTTATGTCCTTTGCCAAATAGGTGGTGGTGGTTATGTGGTTCTTAAGTATCCTAAGCTCTTACATTTTGCTATGAAATATATTCAAGAGAAGATAGAAATATTGGAAGATGACTTGTATGAGTCAGACCATTGTCCCGTCTAGCTTTATATTGTCAACTTAGATTGGCAGTAATAATTCAGGATTTCAGGCAGGATTATTTCATAGCCCTGCCTGGAAATTCCTGGAATTCCCTGATGGATTCATATCCAAGTACTACTCTGCCAAATCCTGCTTATTTTCCAAATCAGCAACCACCCAGTAGGTCTGGGTTTGTCACAGGTAGTGTTTTAAGTCCAACTGACTATGATGACTATCCAGTCAAGCACCAGTGTATAAGAGGTCATCCCTGTGAAAAGCAAAGAAGCCTCATTAGGCTTCATTTTAGGAAGCAGAACCTTCTTTTCCACTTCAAAACTAAATATTCGATCAGTTTGTCTTGAATATAGTAGTCTTTCAGATTTCATCTTCTTGAACTATGTAAAGCCTTATAAGCTTTGTTATCTGATTCTCAGCCTTCTCAGATATTTCATTGCAGGAGCTCTATGTGCATGGTAGAAGACTGTTAACAAGCCTGCCTATTGCATCCTGCACATGCTGTCTCCTTTGAACCAAGCCCAAGAGAAGCCCTGCCTTGAGTGTATTTAAAGTAGTCCATTCTTTGAGACTATCAACATCTGGATCAGTGTGGCCAGAGTTTACCACCAAACCTGGTAGTAGGTATTCTTTGCCACTGAGGCCTCTAGTGGCAAAGATAACAGCATTCTCTCAGTCACTGTTTTTTTCCCCCTTTTGGAGGATTAATTTTTAATTAGATTATTTAAATATTTTACACATGAAGATTGTCGATCCATGCAACTCCCTTCCCTTCCCTTCCCTCCTCTCATCTCCTCAAAAGTAATATGCAAAAATCTACAATTTTGTTTACGAGTCCCCTAGATAATTTTTTAAAATATATGCTACATTTCCTTTATATTTTTAGAGTAGATTATTTTTTCCTTGATGTCAGTCAATCAATCAATCAATCAATTGTTTATTTACGGTCAAAGACCAGCAATATATTACAATTAAAATATAATTTCCATAACCTCTAAAAAACAGGTGATTCATTTTGAAACATTAACTTCCATGTTGACATCTACCTTTAAGGCACCTAATAGCGTAGTAAGCACAGATTAAACAGAGGCCAAAAGCCATTATTATATTACAATTAAAATATATAGGCCAGGGCAACCAGTAGCCTCACAGGGATAGGAGGCTATTGTATGATATTACAGCAGCACAATATTCAGCCACTTGTAGAGTAATGGCTGGGACATTGTCTGAAAGCAGCAAAGTTATATAGAAATTTGTATTTCTCCGCAGAAATTTCTGTAGAATGGACAGTAGAAAAGACCTTAGCAGGTCTTGATAAAATGAGCAGTGTAACAAAACATGTCCCACAGATTCCATCTCTTCCCCATTACAGGGACATAAACGTTCAGTGTAGGGGATACCTTGAAATCTTCCTTCTAAAAGTTTAGAGGGCAGGAGGGAACTGCAAAAGCAGCCCTCAAGAATTTTGTCTGTACCAGTTCGAGGTGACGCATATTGGAGTGCGCAAATATTTGGGAGCCATAGAGCATTTGGGCTATCATTTTTGTCTTGAATATGTGTAGCACAGATGGCACATGTTGTCCCCCTTTGGTGTAAAAAAACCTAATTAATGCCATGGGACTTTTCTGTGCATTAGTTGCTGCATAATTAATATGGGGGACCAAGACCTGGTAGAATGGAAAATTATTCTCAGATACCTATAGCACCCTACCTGCTCAATGATGTTTCCATTAATAGACCACTTATGTTTTAGTCTCCTCCTATTGAAAATCATCACCTTAATCTTGGAGTAATTAACGGTTAGTTGTTCTTGCATACAATAAAATGATAGAGCTCTTAGCAGTCTTCTCAGTCCAATACAAGTTATAGACAATACAGCATCATCAGCATACTGAAGGATGGAAACAGAATGGGAAGACAGTTTAGGGGGATGAAAATCGGGTCTCGACAAGCTTTCTATTATGTCATTAATATAAAAATTAAACAATGTGGGGACTAATATGCAGCCCTGTCTAACACCAGTGAAGGTTGGAATTACTTTGGACAGTGCTCCTGATCTGTTACGTAGAACCCGAAGATGGGTATTCTCATATAAACACTGAATTAATAGAAGTAGCCTATTGATATTTGTCTCACATTTGGCCCAGAGCTTGTCTCTTGGGATCAAGTCAAATGCTGATTTAAAGTCAATAAATGCAGAGTACAGGGCACCACCTTTGAGTGAGGAGTAGTTATATGCTAGATGTTGCAATATTAGATCCCGATGTCTAACAATTTAAGTATATGACTTGAATTTTTGCCTGCTGATTCTCATATAGTCCCTATAAATGATTCTTCCCAATAATTATTTCTATTCTAAACAGCCAGCAGTTAAGTTGGAACTAAATGTTACACTTAACATGGGGCTGCTATCAGATTTGTGCACTTTCCCATAATATTTGTTTATTTGTGTGAGTGTTCAGCAATAGATAATAATTTGCAAGTGGAGAAAGGAACAAACCATTAATATTACAGCATGGGTAAACATAACTGGGTATTAGGAGAAATTTTGGAAAATGTGGGACTACCAGTGGCATTAACACATTGACTTGACATTTACATCTACCCATAAATTCATTGTCATAGTCATCATCATCATCATGATCTTAGAACTGCAGATCTAGAAAGGATTGGATCAAGTCCAACCTCTGTGAAGGATATACAGTGGAGAATCAAACTGCCAGCCTCTGGCTCCACATCCAGATAACTAAACCATTGACCAAGGCTTCCCGCTAAGCTGGGCATGTACACAACTCCACCTCCCTCTGCGCAGTTCTCTTCCACCTCGGTGCAGTGATCGTATTTGGTTCTGGTGACTGAACCCTGCACACGAGGGGGGTGGGTGGAGGCATCTGCGTGTGCACGGGTGAAGTCATGTGCCCAAGGATGTTGCCATAAGCCAGAGTTGACTTTTATAGCTTATAGTGGCCAGCATCCTATTATCTATGTACAGTACATCAGTGAAGATCAAATGGAATAAATCCCTGCAGTAATTTGCTCCTAGCTAAGGGTCTGCATTTGCATTCTTTGTCATGCATCAGCCATGTGACTTGGTGTATGAAAAAAGTACAAGCTTAAACTCCTTGACTAGCAGCATTTCACCACTGAAATTTGCACTGCGTGGTCTGCCACCGTGCATAAGTAATAGGATTCTGGTTAGTTAATAATTATTTTAAGTGATATTTTTCTTTTCTTTTTCATTTACAAAAGAAGCACTGTGATGTGTGTGTACATGTGATGTAATAACCAGGTATGATGTGATGTAAAATGGGGTTATTTCTTTAGACAGTCTGTGTATACGGTAAATAGTTCCAGCGATGTGTACGGAATGATTGACATAGATATATATGAGTAGAACTTGATAGTTAAAGATACCACAACAGAGACTTATGTTGAGAATTGGATTTTGATGAAGGACCTGGTAGCAGCTTAGCTCAAACAGAAGAGAGTTTGAATGTGTTTGCCTAAAACGGTGGATTGGAATCCAGTAGTCGGTTATAGCAGGAAGAAGATTAGGTAAAAGTTAGAAGCCACTTACTTGACAGATTAAAGGAGACTATAGAGTGACTCATGGTGCAATGTTTCCTCCAGAGTTTATTTTCCTCCCCTTCAGACTGCAAGCTGCACCTGCATCATTGTTGTAATGAAATATTTTATTGCGACTATTAAATCAAAGTAACTCTTTCTTTCCTTACTTTTTTAATAAAAATTAGGACATCCATTTGTGGCTTAAAGGAAGAATACTTTTCTTTGTGGAAGAAAAGCAGAGTGACTAATCTCCATGGAAGACTCTCAGGATTTAAATGAACAGTCAGTAAGTAAATGTTTAACTAAAAACACATTTAAGTTCAATGCATGCCGTGTTTGTTTCTTCCTACATGCCATACAGTTTAATTAAATCTAAAGTTTAGCTAGTGGATATAGATTGTACAGAATACAATAAATAAAGAAGATAATCAATTTATAAGAAACTGCCATTTTATCTCTGAATGTATTTGGCTGGGATTACTGTTCAGAGCAGAAATTTAGTCTTCTCCCTCTCCTTATGTTATTTGTTTCTGAAGTTGCCTTCAGGCTTCTGAGTTAAGCAGTCATCCTTGCATTATGTAATTTTTTTCAGTCCAGGGGGTACTTTTGATGTAATACTGAAAAATACTCTCTTCATTATTGTAATGAATTTTTAAATAGAATTTTAGAAAATTAATAAGTAATTTGTGAGAAATTAGAAGATTTTGAAATTTTATAGGAGGCAACATGTCATACCAACTAAGATCTTCGAATGTACTGTTGATACACATTATTGAGACCTTTTGGTATACTCCACATTCTTTCTAAACACATCGAAACAGTAGATTAGGGGAACAAACTGCAAAAGGTTTGTGTACCTGATCGAAAAAGATGTGACTTTTGAATAAAAGATGAACAATAATTTGAAGACTCTAAGCAGTGAGTATCACTGCTGTGACCAGTGTTAAATGTCCTCTTCACTAATGAAAAAAATGGATGTCTAATTGATTGCTGCTGCAAATTGACAGGGGCACTTTAGATGCTAGATTATTTAAAATGTTTAAATAATCCCAGTCCCCAGAGATTTGGGAACGCTCCAGAAGAATAAATTATATCAAGCACAAATTTAAGGTGTACTTAGAATATATCTATTTTCATAAATGGTGGGGAAAACTACCTGTCTAGGCAGCAGCTGCACTTCTGAGAGAAATGCAAAGTGACTGTATTCATCCTGTATTAATAGAAGCATAATTTCTGGAAGGTAGAAATTAATACTTTTTTGCTTCGTGCTTGTTGTGTCTGATCTGAAGTATCATGTTTCATTATTTTTCCTCCATTTTTATGCCAAGATGAATTATTCTAGTACCGTGAAAGAAACAGCACTGATTCTTTTGATTTGTTAATATTGCCGTTGCAACCTGATTAAATTGTATTCAGCCGATAAGTGAGTGTAGCTTTGAAGTCTCTACAATTAAAAAAAAATAAAGCTGTGACTTTCTGACTCAGTTCAGACCCTACCTTTGTTCAGTGTGACTGCTGGATGTATATGTCCATAACTTGGTGAAAGCAAATGTTTACCATTTTTTCTACATTTTTTTTGTACTTGCATCTTTTTAGGCTTCTTGAAAACTTGAAAATACCATTTTGTTTTGGTTCTACAATTGAAAAGGTTGTTTAATGTTGTTTAATGTTGCCTTTTCTTAGAAGGTGTTTAAGGTGCATGAACATACAACCTTTGTAGTGTTTGTATTTTGAAACACCAAACAAACATGTATTGAATCAATGAATACTTTATTACGGTCAAAGACCAGTAATACAAACATGTATTGAGAATTGTTTTGTTTTACTTTCAAGTGGGCTTACCAAGGTATAGGCTTTCACAGTACATTGGTGCCTCGCTTAATGGCGATAATCCGTTCTAGGAAAATCGCTGTTAAGCAAAAACATCATAAAGTGAAAATAAAAAGCCCATTGAAACACATTGAAAACCTTTCAATGCATTCCAGTGGACTTAAACCCCACCATCCAGCGAAGATCCTCCATATGGCGACCATTTTCGCTGCCTATATAGCGAGGAATCCGTCCCTAAACACAGCGGGAAGCCATTTTATTTACCCGGCGGCCATTTTGAAACTGCGGATCAGCTGTTAGAAAAACGTCGTTTTGCAAAGAATCAGTTCCCAAAGCAGGGAACCGATAATTGCAAAGCAAAATTCCCCCATTTAGACCATCGTTTTGCGATCGCAATTACGATTGCAAAAAGATCGTCGTAATGCAGATTCGTCATAAAGCAAGGCACCACTGTATTATGAAATAAGTGATCAGGCTTACATTCATTTCTTTACTATAAAATATATTGGAATATAAAGCAAGAATTCAAGAAGTTAAGAGGGCAGAGACCCAAGCTTAACATAGCAAAACCACAGGCTGGAATCTCGTTGACAGAGATTCACAATCATAAAGCTGATGGTATTCTCAGCTATATTATTCTTTAATTTAAAATTTCCTATCCCCTCCCTTGAGGTTCTGAGGCTCCCGAGGGATACCTTTTGACCTGAGGAAGCCTTTGGGAACCTTGGGATGGTGCTTTCAAATCTGAAAATCACTGTCAGCAGTCCCAGTCCCAGCCAGGATTTTGGCAAGAATTTGTTGATTTCGGATCTAATTTAAAATACTGAATCCTTTGTAAATTTATTTTACATAAGTTTGAAGTTTATTTCCAGATTATTAAACATTATCAGTTTACTTTCCATATGAACAACTTAAATGGGGTTTATAAATGCAAAGTTAATTTTTCTTTATACTTCCTCAGCAACCCAAAATAGGAAGTATATGTGACATGCTGCACACCAACAGCATCTATTGCTCAGGTGGAATCAGGAGATGTGAAAGATATCTTCATGTCAAAACAGAACAATCTGTATGGTGCAGCCGTGAACTAGCATGTGCAATATCACTGAAGGCAGTCTCTATATGCTGATACCACTGAAGATCAGGGAAGTGTTCCCTAGCCCAGAACCATGCCCTGTACACGCTCATGTGGTTCTGCCTAGCACAATCCCCTTTGAAGCCACCGGTATTCACGCATATCACAATAATGGCCATTGCCTTACTTTTGAGTGTTAGTGTCCTGTCACATTGACACTCATGAACCATGGTATTCTACGTTTTCAAAATCTAAGTGGGATTGACATGGATATCGGCATCCAAATCCATCTCTTTGATATCATAAGCACCAATCCCAGCTGTAACCAGATAAACAACAAAAGTTATATAGGTTTTTATGCAGTCTTCAGTTCCACTGCCTCCTTCAAGTCAAAACGGTAGCTTCTTTGTGTTAAAGCCTGTCCTAAACTGTGGTTTAGTATGATTGTTAATATGGGCCTTATCTACTGAATCTTGTGGAGAAACTGCCTGCCCTTTCTGCTTTCTTTTTCATTTTTTTTTTTACTTGACTCCACTGGAAGGATGTCTCAGTCTTGCATACTGTGATTCCTGTAGCTGAAGTTGTTATGAATCGAATCTGGGATTTTCTGTAGGCACAGTATGGTGTTCAGTACTGAACACCAGCGTGGCATACAAAATTTTCTGCAGAAAAAAATAGACAATAGAAGATATTCTGGCAAATTTACCAGTACTGAATTTTTCTATCAAATATTTTCCAGTTTTGAGAAAATGTTAATATGGGCCTTATCTACTGAATCTTGTGGAGAAACTGCCTGCCCTGTCTGCTTTCATTTTTTTAACTTGACTCCACTGGAAGGATGTCTCAGTCTTGCTTACTGTGATTCCTGTAGCTGAAGTTGTTATGAATCGAATCTGGGATTTTCTGTAGGCACAGTATGGTGTTCAGTACTGAACACCAGCGTGGCATACAAAATTTTCTGCAGAAAAAAATAGACAATAGAAGATATTCTGGCAAATTTACCAGTACTGAATTTTTCTATCAAATATTTTCCAGTTTTGAGAAAAAATAATAATTTCATGAAATTTGTTAGCAACTTTGAATGAATACCAGTACCAGTACAACATTAGACAAGCTTGGTAGTTTCAAAGTTGTCTGCCAAGAGAGTAATGATTATGTTTTTAAGCGAGATGAAGGCATAATCTAGATTGGTTGTCCTTTAGCTGTTTTCAGAGCAATGCTTTTCAGATGATAATTCTAGAAGAAGTATATATGAATATTTATCTTGTATTTATTTGCAAATATAGTGGCAGGGGGCAATAAAACCACTAATACTGTTATAATCCAAACCAAGATCAAGTTATAAATTCATTGTTTGACGATGTGTTTCAAATAAAAGCCAAACTAAAACTTGTGCTCACCCCTACATCTGACAAAAAACAGCAATTTTTCATTTCTTTTCTTCTGCTAGGGATTTTTTTTTTCAACAACAACTGTGGGACCTTAATCTTTGTACTACTCTGTTCTACAGTTACATGCCAAATAAAAATTCTAAGTTGTGTTGTCTCTGTTTAGAGTACTGGTCAATATTTCAATAACATTTTCTGGAAAAATTATATAACTAACACTGAACAATGGCCACTCTTATTTTTATAATATTACCTAGAGATTGTGGGACGTGATGGTGCTGTGGGCTAAACCGCAGAAGCCTGTGCTGCAGGGTCAGAAGACCAAGCAGTCGTAAGATCAAATCCACGCGACGGAGTGAGCGCCTGTCACTTGTCCCAGCTCCCGCCAACCTAGCGGTTCGAAAGCATGCAAATGCGAGTAGATAAATAGGGACCACCTTGGTGGGAAGGTAACAGCGTTCCGTGTCTAAGTCGCAGTGGCCATGTGACCACGGAAGATTGTCTTTGGACAAAACGCTGGCTCTGTGGCTTGTAAACGGGCATGAGCACCGCCCCCTAAAGTCGAACATGACTGGACAAAAATTATCAAGGGGAACCTTTAACCTTTACCTTACCTAGAGATTGGACTTTCAGATTAACACAATTGGGGGAATATGACATCCATTTTCTTCCATTTTTGGATTCCTTTCATAATTTTCTAAAGTGAGCCTTTGGACCCTGAATTACTTTATAATGAAAGAGAGGATCACAAAAAAATTGAGATTTCATTTGGAATTTTTGATTTGGATTAGACCCATGCATAAAAGCTCCTCATTAATATTGCAACAAATAAATAGTATTGTGAATCTTGGAATGAGAGCTGTCAGCTGCCAATCGGGATTCAGAGAACACCTTAGAAGTGGGAAGGATGTACGGGAAGAGTGATTCTTTGAAAGGTACCAGAAAACTGAAACGGTTGTTCTGTTTGCTGCTTGGTCACAGATTTTCTCCTGC